GTATGTAGTGTCTCTACTTTAAAGAGTCCTCTCCTGCTGATGTTCAGGTGTATATCAGTATGTAGTGTCTCTACTTTAAAGAGTCCTCACCTGCTGATGTTCAGGTGTATATCAGTATGTAGTGTCTCTACTTTAAAGAGTCCTCTCCTGCTGATGTTCAGGTGTATATCAGTATGTAGTGTCTCTACTTTAAAGAGTCCTCTCCTGCTGATGTTCAGGTGTATATCAGTATGTAGTGTCTCTACTTAAAGAGTCCTCTCCTGCTGATGTTCAGGTGTATATCAGTATGTAGTGTCTCTACTTTAAAGAGTCCTCACCTGCTGATGTTCTAGGTGTATATCAGTATGTAGTGTCTCTACTTAAAGAGTCCTCACCTCATGCTGATGTTCAGGTGTATATCAGTATGTAGTGTCTCTACTTTAAAGAGTCCTCTCCTGCTGATGTTCAGCGTGTATATCAGTATGTAGTGTCTATTTACCTTTAAAGAGTCCTCTCCTGCTGATGTTCAGGTTTATATCAGTATGTAGTGTCTCTACTTTAAAGATCCTCTCCTGCTGATGTTCAGGTGTATATCAGTATGTAGTGTCTCTACTTTAAAGAGTCCTCACCTGCTGATGTTCAGCGTGTATATCAGTATGTAGTGTCTTCTACTTTAAAGAGTTCCTCTCCTGCTGCCTGTTCAGGTGTATATCAGTATGTAGTGTCTCTACTTTAAAGAGTCCTCTCCTGCTGATGTTCAGGTGTATATCAGTATGTAGTGTCTCTACTTTAAAGAGTCCTCTCCTGCTGATGTTCAGGTGTATATCAGTATGTAGTTGTCTCTACTTTAAAGAGTCCTCACCTGCTGATGTTCAGGTGTATATCAGTATGTAGTGTCTCTACTTTAAAGAGTCCCCTCACTGCTGATGTTCAGGTGTATATCAGTATGTAGTGTCTCTACTTTAAAGAGTCCTCATCCTGCTGATGTTCAGGTGTATATCAGTATGTAGTGTCTCTACTTTAAAGAGTCCTCTCCTGCTGATGTTCCAGGTGTATATCAGTATGTAGTGTCTCTACTTTAAAGAGTCCTCTCCTGCTGATGTTCAGGTGTTATCAGTATGTAGTGTCTCTACTTTAAAGAGTCCTCCTCCATGCTGATGTTCAAGGTGTATAATCAGTGTGTAGTGTCTCTACTTTAAAGAGTCCTCATCCTGCTGATGTTCAGTGTTATCAGTATTTAGTGTCTCTACTTTAAAGAGTCCTCTCCTGCTGATGTTCAGGTGTATATCAGTATGTAGTGTCTCTACTTTAAGAGTCCTCTCCTGCTGATGTTCAGGTGATATCAGTATGTAGTGTCTCTACTTTAAAGAGTCCTCTCCTGCTGATGTTCAGGTGTATATCAGTATGTAGTGTCCTCTACTTTAAAGAGTCCTCACCTGCTGATGTTCAGGTCTATATCAGTAATGTAGTGTCTCTACTTTTAAGAGTCCTCACCTGCTGATGTTCAGGTGTATATCAGTATGTAGTGTCTCTACTTTAAAGAGTCCTCTCCTGCTGATGTTTCAGGTGTATATCAGTATGTAGTGTTCTCTACTTTAAAGAGTCTTCACCTGCTGATGTTCAGGTGTATATCAGTATGTAGTGTCTCTACTTTAAAGAGTCCTCTCCTGCTGATGTTCAGGTGTATATCAGTATGTAGTGTCTCTACTTTAAAGAGTCCTCTCCTGCTGATGTTCAGGTGTATATATCAGTATGTAGTGTCTCTACTTTAAAAGATTCCTCTCCTGCCTGATGTTTCAGGTGTATATCAGTATGTAGTTGTCTCTACTTTAAGAGTCTCTCCTGCTGATGTTCAGTTGTATATCAGTTTGTAGTGTCTCTACTTTAAAGAGTCCTCACCTGCTGATGTTCGGGTGTATATCAGTATGTAGTGTCTCTACTTTAAAGAGTCCTCTCCTGCTGATGTTCAGGTGTATATCAGTATGTAGTGTCTCTACTTTAAAGATTCCTCTCCTGCTGATGTTCAGGTTTATATCAGTATGTAGTGTCTCTACTTTAAGAGTCCTCTCCTGCTGATGTCTTCAGGTTATATCAGTATGTAGTGGTCTCTACTTTTAAAGAGTCCTCTCCTGCTGATGTTCAGGTTTATATCAGTATGTAGTGTCTCTACTTTAAAGAGTCCTCTCCTGCTGATGTCAGGCGTATATCAGTATGTAGTGGCTCTACTTTAAAGAGTCCTCTCCTGCTGATGTTCAGGTTTATATCAGTATGTAGTGGCTCTACTTTAAAGAGTCTTCTCCTGCTGATGTTCAGGCGTATATCAGTATGTAGTGGCTCTACTTTAAAGAGTCCTCTCCTGCTGATGTTCAGGTTTATATCAGTATGTAGTGGCTCTACTTTAAAGAGTCCTCTCCTGCTGATGTTCAGGCGTATATCAGTATGTAGTGTCTCTACTTTAAAGGTAAAACAATGTAAACCAGGAAATATAACATTTGTTTTATTAATAATAAACAGATGGCAGGATGAGAGGAGGTAAGGCCCACAGCTGATTGTACAATACAAATAAATACATTGAATACTAAGTATTTCATTTTGTAGGGCGGCCCGGCTCCATGAGTCCATGCCAGACCCGGTCCAAAACTCTCAAAAACAACTGAAGAACTGGACTTTCTGTTCCTCATGGATCTCAGAAACATTCAAAGGTAAACCAGGTCCTGGTCCTCTGGTTCAGGGCCAGGTGAGACCGAGTCCCTGGCTCAGGACCCCCTCCAGGTCCTGGTCCTGCAGCCGGTGCTCCTCCAGCTGAGCCACCAGAGAGTCTCTCTGCTGGACCACCTCCAGCAGCTCCTGCAGAACCAGAACCTCCTCCAACAGCTGGACCTCCGGCTTCAGGTGGTCTGCATAAACAAGAAGGTTAAATAAAGGTTAGCCCTTCAGAATAAGAGCATGAGGACCTGGTCATATTAAATGTTTTATTGTCTAAAAAGAACAGGAAGTGGTTTCACCTTCCACGGCCATCTGGTCTCGGAGCTCCTGCTGCAAGCGGCTCTGCCGGTCCTCCAACTCCACCTCCCGGGCCCTGAAACACAGGAACACACCTGAGACAAAGACCCACCAGAACCTGCACCTGAGGATCCAGAGAAACCTGAACCTGAGGATCCAGAGAAACCTGGACCTGAGGATCCAGATGAACCTGAGCTTGCACCTGAGGATCCAGAGGAACCTGAGCTTGCACCTGAGGATCCAGAGGAACCAGGCCCTGCTGAATGTCAACCACACAGTCCTGGTTCTGCTGCAGGACTTGAAGGTCAGGAACTCACGAGATCATGAGTTCAGACTCGTATCGGAGCAGGCAGTTCTTCTGCTGGACCAACAGGAACCACTGCTGCATCAGCGCCGGGTGGTCCAGTTTCCCCAGACCTGCAGAGAGTGTATCAGTTAATGCTCTATGCTGCAGGTGTACTGGTGGTCTTATCTGGGGTACTGGTGGTCTTATCTGGGGTCCGGTACCTTCCAGGTGAAGCTCCACATCCTCGCTGTCGGGGGAGTCGCCCCAAAACTCTGAAACACATCAAATCCACAGTGCTTACATAATGACCTTCCGTACGGAGCGTCCTCGGTATATCGAGCGTTAATAACCCTCCATAGAACAGAAGATCCTGCAGACGTGTATTTTATATATTGTTGGACATCAGGAAGTAAAGAGTACCTGCTTCCCCCCTCAGGACCCTCTCCAGCCCCACCCCCCTCTCCTCCAGCTGTTTCTGTTTCTCCTCGACCTGCTGCAGCTGCCTCTGGATCATCTGAAGAAAATACAAAATAAAGTCCAGAACATTTTTCTAAACGTCTAAAAACCTTAAATGAAATATCACCCCCCCCCCCCTCACCTGAGCTCCCCCCTCACCTGAGCTCCCCCCCTCACCTGAGCGCCCCCCTCACCTGAGCTCCCCACCTCACCTGAGCGCCCCCCCTCACCTGAGCTCCCCCCCTCACCTGAGCGCCCCCCCTCACCTGAGCTCGATGCAGCCTCTGCAGCTCTTCCCGTCTCCGCGTCCGCCCCCCCGGGACCTGCCTCCTTACCCCCTTCTCCTCCTCCCCCCCCCTCAGGAACAGCGCCTCCTTCAGGCTGAGGATCGACGGCTCCTGGGCGAGAAACAGCCCCCCCGACGCCAAAGGGGGACATGAGGTGGTCCGTCTTTGAGGGCCGGGGGTCCTCAGGGAGCGCCTCTGAAATAGGAGAGACCAATTTACTGAGGGGTTGGGGGGTCGTACATGTTACAGAGTAAGGGGGGAATACCATGTTACAGAGTAAGGGGGGGGGGGGGTACCATGTTACAGAGTAACGGGGGGGGGGGGTACCATGTTACAGAGTAAGGGGGGGTACCATGTTACAGAGTAAGGGGGGGTACCATGTTACAGAGTAAGGGGGGGTACCATGTTACAGAGTAAGGGGGGGGCGTACCACGTTACAGAGTAAGGGGGGGGGGGTACCACGTTACAGAGTAAGGGGGGAATACCATGTTACAGAGTAAGGGGGGGGATACCATGTTACAGAGTAAGGGGGGGAATACCATGTTACAGAGTAAGGGGGGGGAATACCATGTTACAGAGTAAGGGGGGGAATACCACGTTACAGAGTAAGGGGGGGAATACCACGTTACAGAGTAAGGGGGGGAATACCACGTTACAGAGTAAGGGGGGGAATACCACGTTACAGAGTAAGGGGGGGGGTACCATGTTACAGAGTAAGGGGGGGAATATCACGTTACAGAGTAAGGGGGGGAATACCACGTTACAGAGTAAGGGAGGGTACCACGTTACAGAGTAAGGTGGGGCGTACCATGTTACAGAGTAAGGGGGGGAATATCATGTTACAGAGTACGTGGGGGAATACCACGTTACAGAGTAAGGGGGGGTACCACGTTACAGAGTAAGGGGGGGCGTACCATGTTACAGAGTAAGGGGTGGAATACCACATTACAGAGTAAGGGGGGGGTACCACGTTACAGAGTAAGGGGGGGCGTACCATGTTACAGAGTAAGGGGGGGAATACCACGTTACAGAGTAAGGGGGGGGTACCACGTTACAGAGTAAGGGGGGGCGTACCATGTTACAGAGTAAGGGGGGTCTGTACCTTGATGGCGTATGCTCGTTTGAAGGCAAGAGCGTGTGGAACATACGGCGGATTCTCCCGGTTCTCCTTCACTGAGACCCTCTGGAGGTCGGAGGTCAGTTTGGACAGGTGTTTATCAATGACATCATCGCCTGTAGCTGTCTTCTGATTGGCTGAAGTCTTCTTCTGCTTCCTGTCAGCAGGAACAACTGTCCTCCTCTCCGCCCCCTCTGTCTCTGACCCCACGCCCTTATATGGCGGCAGATCTGGGGTAATGGCGTCAAACGAGCCCCGCCCCCTGGGAGCGGTTTCCGTGACAACGGCATGTGTGGCCGGGTACAGTTCCTCATCAGGGGCGGAGCCATGTCTTGGGGGCGAGGTCTCAGACTGAGGCGTTTCACTTCCTGCTGCTGAAGACATGAATAACAATTACATAAAGTATTGATTTAACAACAATTCTATATGCAAGCACTCACCGTCACTCGACTCTTCTTCTTCTTCTTCTTCTTCTTCTTCTTCTTCTTCTTCTTCTTCTTCTTCTTCTTCTTCTTCTTCCCCCTCTTCCTCTTCCTCTTCCTCCTCCTCCTCTCTCTGGTGCTTCTTCACAGTTTCCCTCCATGGAGTTTTCTCTTCTGAAGTCCCACTGCTCCCCTCCTCCATCCCCGACTCTGAACTGAAAACAATGTTCACAATTTTGCAGTTGGGGTTCATTGTTTTCTCCAGGCATTAATTACCTTCCATACTCACCTGGTTTTGTCCACCTCGTTTTTCAGGCTGAAATTGAAATGATGCAGCGACTCTTCCTCCTCTTCCTCTCTGGACCAACGGGGGGGCTCCTGCTCTTCGCTCCTCTCTCCCCCCTCCCTCACAGAAACAGCTGCCGACACACACACACACACACACACAAGCACACACACACAGAAACACACACAGAAACACACTGAAGCCCGCCGTATAAAGAGCAGCTCAGAGGCGACCAGAGACTGTCTGTCATAGAAACAGGAGAGGGGGGACAGGTGAGACAGAAACAGGCGGGGGGGCTCACCTGAGGAGCGCCGGCGCCCGGAGAGGGGGGGAGACGCCTGTGGAGAAAACAAACACACCTGTGATCACACATCATGAACACCAGTCATCTTATACAACTTTATTAGACGAGAGTCTCTTACGATGGATGCTCGGTGGGGGGGGGGGTCGGGTCCTCAGGCAGGGGTCGCAGTGCAGACAGTAAAACCTCCCTGAAACCACAGAAGAAGAAACACAGGAGCTTAAACTATGGATATGTAAAAAACAACAACAACTAAACCTAAGCTCCCCGAAACAACAGAAGAAGAGGCTTAAACTAGAGGGAATGCTTTATGCTGAAAAGCTGACGCTGAACTGCTGAAATGTAATGTGTAAGAAGAAAGTGAAGAATTGAGATTGAAATGAAACATGAACACTGGGGGCTTGAATGTGTGATGAGAGAAGAAAGTGAAAAGGCTTGGGAAAGCAGCAGAATATTTGAACTGCAAACTTCTGAACTAACTTGATGGTGAATGATCTGTCGCCATGGCAACGGCATTTGATGACATCCCATAATACGCTTAGAAGCGTTGATGGCTGCATCGTTACCAAACCTGTGAAGTTCTGGGCCGTTTGGAGCATTTTCACTGAAGTTATGAGAAAAACTGTTTCATGGTGAGCATTGTGTTGCCATGGCAACGGCATTTGAAGAAATCTCAAAACTGTCCTGTAGATGTCGTCACAGCTGGACTGTTAGCACACGTGAAGTTTGAGCACTTTTTGAACATTTTCATAGGAGTTATAGCGACATCATGTTTTATGGTGAGGGCTAAGTTTCCATGGAAACGGCATATGATGACACCCCATAATAGAGTAGAGCTGTTGAGGGCAGGACCGTTAACCTTTACCTGAAGTCTGCTGCTCTGAGCATGTCAGGTGGAGCGATGAGCGCTAACGAGGCGTGCAGAGATCACAGGTTTCATGGTTCTGAATGAGAGATGAACCTCAGTGTGAACGCTTTGTGGAAGAACCGTAACAGATATCTGTGAAATGTAACTAAAGGTGTGCGGCTGCTGCTGTGGGGGGGAAAGATGAGGCTTTAATGGAGACATGTTGGAAGTTGTTGTCACTTCATGCCCTCAAGAGGCATTTTGTTGAATTATTTTGCTTAATTTCCTTTTTCTTTTTCAAGCTACGAGATGTTTTCCTGCGTTTCTCATGAAAAATGATTTCTCAGGAATGGAGGGTTTGGGAATGATGGCAGTTTAAAAACCTTCACATTTCAAGCTGCCCTCCACTCTAGCTGTGACATCACACACCTTAACGAGCTGCTCAATACCAAGCGGCAAACTCTGGGGAAGAGCCGGGACGCCAATACGGAAGTGCCACACACTGCAGTTCATATATTGGCCGCTAGGGACTGACTGCAGAAAGGAGCAATTTCCATAGACCCCCATGTTAAAATGCCCAACTTTACAGCAGAAAAAAACATGTTTCTACCCATGGATGCAATACATATTATTATGAAGTTAGATATAGTTAGATTCAACCTTCATGATTATGGATCTGTGAGTGAATTGTTTTCTAATGCGACCCTTTTATTTATATTAGGTCTTAAAGTTTTTGCATATATTAGGGCGTGGTCACATTGAGTGACGGCTCTGTCAAGTGCCTGCTGCTGTTAGCTTCTTGTCTCTCTGCTAGCTGCTCCGTGAAGCTACAGGGACTCTGCCTGCTCAGCTCATCCAGGAAACACAACTTGAAGCCGGCCGTGGTTGTTTGTTCTTCATGCTTATATATCGGACTATTGTGACTCGCTCTGCGGTTAAAACAGACGGTGCATGCATGCGGTTTTGCGGTAAGTGAAAATCGAGTACTTATTTATGTGTTAATGATTTTAATCAGCTACGTAATGAATGTTAAGGCTTGGGTTAGCGTGTAAGCTAGTGGTAGCTACATCGGTGCTAACGATGCTAATAGTAGCCTCCAAGTTAAAATCATAGACTGTATATATAAAGGTTAAAACTAAATAGACAAGCGTTAACTGGGATAATACTGTTGAACAAACGGCTTCTGTTCGAGGTTGATACAATAAGGTCATCCTTGTAACTTAGAGATATTTTATTATGTAGGTAGAACTGTATGCATCTAAGGTTAATTTAAATTGGCTATTCTCAAGTATGTAGACAAGCTAATGTCGAAGTAGTGTATGTGAAATCAACCTCACAATAAGATGTGTGTATATTACAATTATTAATGTCATATTTCAAGATGATTACTTAGATATTACAATATGGTTGGTTGAGCTGGAGTTCATTATCGAGCTTACACGTTAACGTCACAGTCATCTGAAGAACGAACCCAAACCTTGTTGTTTTTATTAATTTCATTACCAAATGGGTATCAAATAAACAGTAAGCATTGGTAACACAATTTCCAAAGTTACAGTAAAATAAAAAGGCCCCTGACTCGGACAATACACAATCCAACATGTTCAACAGAAGAGAATCAGTTATATTGTTTGTACACATGGTACTTTACACATATATATATATCTGTTTGTTTAAAGTGTCCAGGTGATGCAGACAGGCTGGACCAGAGAGTGAGAGACAGAACTGGACTCCTCACAGCAGTGAACTTCAGCACAGGTACAAAGACTCTTTTTTCATACTGTACAAAGAATCAAGAAATATATTGGTTTAAATGAATGAAGTATTGACTTGAATACATTCCATTAAACAATACTAAATACTAGATCACCTACACATCAGTGAAGTTGAGGGTTTTTTCCATGCAAAAAGTTACATTTAGATATTTAGCAATATGACTTTGTCAGCTTTCTAATTTAATGTATTGAAGGCAAAGATATTTAACACATAGTGTGTCCAAGATGGTGGAATGAGCTCCCCATTGACATCAGGACGGCAGATAGCTTGCACATCTTCCGGCGCAAACTGAAAACTCATCTCTTTCGACTCCACTTCCAGCGATAGAACTATTAACGAAGCACTTTTATACTAATAAAGGACTGGCTTACCTAAAGCCAGTTGAGTAGCACTTGAAATGTTTGGCTCTATGAAACCTGATGTACTTTATGATTCTGTTTTCTTCAAGGTTGTGTCTTCCTGGTCGAATGTACTTATTGTAAGTCGCTTTGGATAAAAGCGTCAGCTAAATGCAATGTAATGTAATAGTGAGAACTGCTACTATTTATCTCTCAATATTGTCTGTAAAAAACGTGGTAAAAGTGATTCTTTCAGTGAGACAACAGAGCAAGCTTCTACAGTTGCACTACGTTTTGATAACAGTTCAATATTATTTTGATAATAACATATATTTCAATGTTGATGAACTTCATACTGTTCATTCATAATCTGATTGTCTTTGTAGCTCATTGTTGAAATAAAAAAAAAACATTACAATTACATCAACAGCCCCTAAACACACAAACACACCACTTTCATAAATAACACACTTGTTCTGCAATAATATGTTTTATGTTTCCTGTCATTTTTGTTAGGAAAGGACATGCCTGAAAGACAGGACATCTTCTCCTTCTCTGAGGGTCCAGAAGAACATCCAAAGCTGATGTTATGAGATTTTAAGACCAGTACAGGACATTCACTAAGAAACTACTTTTATTGTGAAAACACAGTCAGCTGATCGAATGCAGCTATTTCCACATCTACACTCCATCCGCTGATTATTTCTATTTGCCTCACTTTATGAGCTTCACAATATGTACCTTGTTTTGCAACGTCACAAATAAATGGGGCCAATCTTCAGTCAGATGTGAATGTGTAATCTAACATTTTCAGTAAGAATAATGGACAAAAGGAGTGCAAATACAAATACAATTTATGTGAACCAAAAGTTAATCAAATGTTTTAAATAAAAAGCACATATGGACAGAAGGTGTAAACCTATTAAATGTATTAAACACATTTAGTCAAATAACGTGACAGACTAGGCCTGTGCAGTTGGTATCAGCTGTGCCCAGCATGGGCTCCTCCATCAGGCCTGGTCCTCCTTGCAGAGGAAAGACCCTCAGTCCTCTCCAAACCAACAGACAGGACGTCCATCACACGGAGGTTTCTCCCTGAAGTCTCTGCAGCTCTCTGGACACCAGGCTGTCTCAATCCGTCCACACTGAATATGAGATTGGGAAAATGAAAATAATAAATGCTTTAGACAATAAGAAACATAAAGTTGACTGTTGAGTTGCTCAGTTTTTTTAGATTGTCAATACTATTACTGTATAACTAATATCTCAGGTTAAGAGGCACATTCAAATAAAGATTGGTCTTTAAATACATTTTGTCTTTTGAATTGTTTGTCTAAAGTCAAGGATCTATAACTGGTACTTAGTTTGAATGATAGTCTGGTTATTATGCTGTTTGGAGGAGGCCTCACAGGTAAGAGCACTAACTAGCTACCATCACATGTACCTTAGCTTGACTTAAATGTATTAAACGTATAGTTAAGTGATATCAAAATATAAATAACTAATGTCATGCAAACATATTAATATTTGCTTGATTCCAGTGTTGAATTTAGCACAATTGCATACAAACGTTAAGGGGTTTTAAGATTCTGAAGTATTATGTTAAAACTCAATAACTTAGATTATTATTTATAGTTTTGCTGAATAGTTTCATGTCCGCTTACCTTAGAAACGTAAAATGCGACGGCAGCGTGCAGATGGGGAGGATGTTAGCTTAGCTTGGTAGCTTCAGCTAGCTCTGGAACTTCCAGCTCGGTGGCAGCAGGTCCCGCCTCGGCTCCGCCTCTTTGCCCTTATTTGGAGCAGGCTGGAGTTGAACTCTGACGTCAATGTCGAGCCGTTAGTGGCCGACTCCGCCTACTAAGGGCTTCACGGCAACTGCAGAATCCTATGGGTGACGTCACGGACCCTACGTCCATTTATATATACAATCTATGCTCAATACACACTAATGTTACAATCTGTGTATTGAGCAGTAAAGAGTCTTTACCAAGGTCTGAACAATGTTTAATATCTCTAAAAGTAAGAATCACATTTAAAAGTTGTTTTACACGAATAATGTCAGAAAGATGTGTAACATTTTAAAGTTGGAATGAGGTTTCTGACTGAAAGTATGAAGGAGCAGTTAGCAGTTGAATCGCATGAAGATTGTTCAAGTCTGAAGAGTTTCTCCATTGACTTCCATGTTAAACATGTGATGCATTATGGGAAGTATCTCTGGAATTATGAAAGCTATGAATGAGGAAAGTAATCGATTTCGACCGAGCTGAACGTTTTGATGTTTGAACGGAGTTTCTGCGATGTTCAATGTGGGAGAAGAAGAGGGCCAAGAGACAGGTAGGACAGAGAGGTGAGACAGACAGGTGAGAGACAGACAGGTGAGAGACAAACAGGTGAGAGACAGACAGGTGAGAGACAGACAGGTGAGAGACAGACAGGTGAGAGACAAACAGGTGAGAGACAAACAGGTGAGAGACAGACAGGTAAGAGACAAACAGGTGAGAGACAAACAGGTGAGAGACAGACAGGTGAGACCCTTGTCAATTAACTACAGGGGTCCCTCAGGGCTCTGTTCTTGGTCCCCTCCTCTTCTCCCTGTACACAAACTCGCTCGGATCAGTCATTAGCCCGCATGGTTTTTCTTACCACTGCTACGCTGACGACACCCAATGAATTCTGTCCTTTCCCCGCTCAGAGACCCAGGTCGTCGCACGCATCTCTGCTTGTCTAGCTGACATCTCTCAGTGGATGTCTGCTCATCACCTCAAGCTCAACCTTGACAAGACTGAGCTGCTCTTCCTCCCGGGAAAAGATTGTCCCACTCTTGACCTAACAATCAACATCGGCACCTCAGTTGTTTCCCCGACTCAGACTGCAAGGAATCTGGGTGTGACCCTAGATAACAACCTGTCCTTCACTGCAAACATCGCTGCTACAACCCGTTGCTGCAGATACACGCTTTACAACATCAGGAAGATACGTCCCCAGCTGACCCAGAAAGCGACTCAGGTTCTGGTCCAGACTCTCGTCATCTCACGCCTAGACTACTGCAACTCCCTCCTGGCTGGTCTACCTGCATGTGCCATCCGACCTCTGCAGCTCATCCAGAATGCAGCGGCTCGTCTTCAACCTTCCTAAATGTTCCCACACCACTCCGCTCCTCCGCTCCCTCCACTGGCTTCCGGTAACTGCTAGAATCCACTTCAAGACACTGGTACTTGCTTACCATGCTGCGAATGGATCTGGCCCTTCGTACATCCAGGACATGGTTAAACCGTACACCCCAGCACGTGCACTCCGCTCTGCATCAGCCAAACGACTCGCTGCACCCTCGCTGCGAGGGGGACCCAAGTTCCCATCAGAAAAAACACGTGGGTTTGCTGTCCTGGCTCCAAGATGGTGGAATGAGCTCCCCATTGACATCAGGACAGCAGAAAGCTTACACACCTTCCAGACTGAAAACTCATCTCTTTCGACTCCACTTCCAGCGATAGAACTATTAACAAAGCACTTTTATACTAATAAAGGGCTGGCTTACCTAAAGCCAGTTGAGTAGCACTTGAAATGTTTGGCTCTATGAAACCTGATGTACTTTATGATTCTGTTTTCTTCAAGTTTGTGTCTTCCTGGTCGAACGCACTTATTGTAAGTCGCTTTGGATAAAAGCCTCAGCTAAATGTAATGTAATGTAATGAGAGAGAGAGACAGGTGAGAGAGAGACAGGTGAGAGACAGACAGGTGAGAGAGAATGAACAGTGAAGAAATGGAAACCATAACATGGAAATAAATGTACCAAAAACAAACAATAAACTCACGTATGTTTATACTATTGATATGTAAACAACAACAACAACAGACTCACGCAGCTGCGGGTCGTAGCCATGCCCCCCCCCCGGCCTCAGGGCGCTGCTGCAGCTGGAGCACAGGAAGCAGCTTCGGTGGAAAAACACACCTTCAGCCGTCTGAAGCTGCATCAGGTAAACACGGCCCTCACAGAAGAAGCACACCTGAGACAGGTGAGGGACACACACAGGTGAGAGAGACACAGGTGAGACAGACAGGTGAGAGAGAGACAGGTGAGAGGCAGACAGGTGAGAGGCAGACAGGTGAGGGACACACAGGTGAGAGACAGACAGGTGAGAGAGACACAGGTGAGGGACACACACAGGTGAGAGAGACACAGGTGAGACAGACACAGGTGAGACAGACAGGTGAGAGAGAGACAGGTGAGAGGCAGACAGGTGAGGGACACATAGGTGAGAGACACACACAGGTGAGAGACACACACAGGTGAGAGAGAGACAGGTGAGAGACACACACAGGTGAGAGAGAGACAGGTGAGGGACACACACAGGTGAGAGAGACACAGGTGAGGGACACACAGGTGAGAGAGAGACAGGTGAGGGACACACAGGTGAGAGAGAGACCGGTGAGGGACACACAGGTGAGAGACATACAGGTGAGAGAGAGACAGGTGAGAGACACACACAGGTGAGAGAGAGACAGGTGAGAGACACACAGGTGAGACAGACAGGTGAGAGAGAGACAGGTGAGGGACAAACAGGTGAGAGAGAGACAGGTGAGAGAGAAACAGGTGAGAGAGAGAGAGACAGGTGAGAGACACACAGGTGAGAGACAGACAGGTGAGAGAGAGACAGGTGAGAGACACACACAGGTGAGACACACACAGGTGAGAGAGAGACAGGTGAGAGACACACACAGGTGAGAGAGAGACAGGTGAGAGACACACAGGTGAGACAGACAGGTGAGAGACACACAGGTGAGAGAGAGATAGGTGAGGGACACACAGGTGAGAGACACACACAGGTGAGAGAGAGACAGGTGAGAGACACACAGGTGAGAGACAGACAAGTGAGAGACACACAGGTGAGAGAGAGACAGGTGAGAGAGAGACAGGTGAGAGATACACAGGTGAGAGAGAGACAGGTGAGGGACACACAGGTGAGAGAGAGACAGGTGAGAGAGAGACAGGTGAGAGAGAGACAGGTGAGAGACACACAGGTGAGAGACACACAGGTGAGAGAGAGACAGGTGAGAGACACACAGGTGAGAGACACACAGGTGAGACAGACAGGTGAGAGAGAGACAGGTGAGGGACACACAGGTGAGAGACACACAGGTGAGAGAGAGACAGATGAGGGACACACAGGTGAGAGACACACAGGTGAGAGACACAGGTGAGGAACACACAGGTGAGGGACACACAGGTTAGAGAGACAGGTGTGAGAGAGAGAGACAGGTGAGGGACACACAGGTGAGAGAGAGACAGGTGAGAGAGAGACAGGTGAGAGACACACAGGTGAGAGACACACATGTGAGGGACACACAGGTGAGAGAGAGACAGGTGAGAGACACACAGGTGAGAGACACACATGTGAGGGACACACAGGTGAGAGAGAGACAGGTGAGAAACACACAGGTGAGAGAGAGACAGGTGAGAGACACACAGGTGAGAGACACACAGGTGAGAGAGAGACAGGTGAGGGACACACAGGTGAGAGACAGACAGGTGAGAGACACACAGGTGAGAGAGACAGGTGAGGGACACACAGGTGAGAGACACACAGGTGAGAGAGACAGGTGAGAGACATACAGGTGAGAGACACACAGGTGAGAGACAGACAGGTGAGAGACACATAGGTGAGAGACAGACAGGTGAGAGACACACAGGAGAGAGACAGACAGGTGAGAAACAGACAAGTGAGAGAGAGACAGGTGAGAGACAGACAGGTGGGAGGGAGACAGGAGACAGACAGACAGACAGGTGAGACAGACAGGTGAGAGACAGGTGAGAGAGACAGGTGAGAGACAGACAGGTGAGAGACAGACAGGTAGAGACAGACAGGAGGGAGACAGACAGGTGAGACAGACAGGTGAGAGACATACAGGTGAGAGACAGACAGGTGATAGACACACAGGTGAGAGAGAGACAGACAGGTGAGAGAGAAACAGGTGAGAGACACACAGGTGAGAGACACACACAGGTGAGAGAGAGACAGGTGAGAGACATACAGGTGAGAGAAACAGGTGAGAGACACACAGGTGAGAGAGAGACAGGTGAGAGAAACAGGTGAGAGACACACAGGTGAGAGAGAGACAGGTGAGAGACAGACAGGTGATAGACACACAGGTGAGACAGACAGGTGAGAGAAACAGGTGAGAGACAGACAGGTGAGAGACACACAGGTGAGAGAGAGACAGGTGAGAGACAGACAGGTGAGAGAGAGACAGGTGAGGGACACACAGGTGAGAGACACACAGGTGAGAGACACACACAGGTGAGAGAGAGAGACAGGTGAGAGACACACAGGTGAGAGACAGACAAGTGAGAGACACACAGGTGAGAGAGAGACAGGTGAGAGACAGGTGAGAGATACACAGGTGAGAGAGAGACAGGTGAGGGACACACAGGTGAGAGAGAGACAGGTGAGAGAGAGACAGGTGAGAGAGAGAGACAGGTGAGAGAGAGACAGGTGAGAGACACACAGGTGAGAGACACACAGGTGAGAGACAGACAGGTGAGAGACACACAGGTGAGAGAGAGACAGGTGAGAGAGACAGGTGAGAGACACACAGGTGAGAGACAGACAGGTGAGAGCCACACAGGTGAGAGAGACAGGTGAGGGACACACAGGTGAGAGAGAGACACACAGGTGAGGGACACACAGGGGAGAGACACACAGGTGAGAGAGACAGGTGAGAGACAGACAGGTGAGAGCCACACAGGTGAGAGAGACAGGTGAGGGACACACAGGTGAGAGACACATAGGTGAGAGAGACAGGTGAGAGACATACAGGTGAGAGACACACAGGTGAGAGACAGACAGGTGAGAGACAGACAGGTGAGAAACAGACAAGTGAGAGAGAGACAGGTGAGAGACAGACAGGTGAGAGGGAGACAGGAGGGAGACAGACAGGTGAGAAACAGGTGAGAGAGACAGGTGAGAGACAGACAGGTAGAGACAGACAGGAGGGAGACAGACAGGTGAGAGAGAGACAGGTGAGAGACATACAGGTGAGAGAAACAGGTGAGAGACAGACAGGTGATAGACACACAGGTGAGAGAAACAGGTGAGAGACAGACAGGTGAGAGAGAGACAGGTGAGAGACAGACAGGTGAGAGAGAGACAGTTGAGAGAGACACAGGGGAGAGACAGACAGGTAAACAAAAGTACCCAGAATGCACAGCAGTGTACCTGCTCCTGAGACTTGATCTTCTCTCTGAACCTAAAACTCATCTGTTCCTGTTGAGGGGTCCTCTTCCTCTGAGAGAGAGACAGGTGAGGGACAGACAGGTGAGAGAGAGACAGGGAGACATGTGAGAGACAGACAGAGAGACAGGTGAGAAACAGACAGGTGAGGGACAGACAGGGAGACAGGTGAGAGACAAACAGGTGAGAGACAGACAGGTGAGAGAGAGACAGAGGGACAGGTGAGAGACAGACAGACAGAAAGACAGGTGAGAGAGAGACAGGTGAGAGACACACAGGTGAGAGAGACAGGTGAGAGAGACAGGTGAGAGACACACAGGTGAGAGAGAGACAGGTGAGAGACACACAGGTGAGAGAGAGACAGGTGAGAGACACACAGGTGAGAGAGACAGGTGAGAGACACACAGGTGAGAGAGAGACAGGTGAGAGACACACAGGTGAGAGACACACAGGAGAGAGAGAGACAGGTGAGAGACACACAGGAGAGAGACAGCCGGTGAGACAGAAAGGAAGCATTATGATCTGGTTTCTACTGGTCACATCACTGGTTCTACTGGTTACCGGTCTCCATGAGGCCTGAGGCGGAACTGCATCAGGGGGACCGTCTGCAGGCTCCTCCTCCTCCTCCTCCTGAAGGACCACAGCCTCAGGTTCAGTCAGTACAGGTAACATCAAAGTGTTAACAGGAAGTGAGATATTAATGAAGCCTCACCTGTAGACATGACGCCGCCGCAGGAGAAGAAGCAGAAGAAGAAGAAGAAGAAGCTGGACTCCAGCAGGAAGTAGAATGCTGGTCAAGTTTCGCCTGCAGCTGATTGGCCAACAGACGCACTTTGGCCCCGCCCACCTGCGCCTCCTCACACACCTGGATGCCTTCATCGCCGTTCAGGTCACATGACTTCAAACAGGAAGTCAGTGTTTAGATTCTCACTTCATATTTATTTTATTTTGATAAAGACATAAATAAACCGACCTGCAGATCCGGACCCGTCCTTTTACCCAGAGTGCCTTTCTGCTCCTGAAGACACAGGTAGGGTCAACACCTCATACAGGTGAGACAACATGAGGACAGGTAGGGTCAACACCTCATACAGGGTAAGACAACATGAGGACAGGTAGGGTCAACACCTCATACAGGTAAGACAACATGAGGACAGGTAGGGTCAACACCTCATACAGGTAAGACAACATGAGGACAGGTAGGGTCAACACCTCATACCGGTAAGACAACATGAGGACAGGTAGGGTCAACACCTCATACAGGTAAGACATGAGGACAGGTAGGGTCAACACCTCATACAGGTAAGACATGAGGACAGGTAGGGTCAATACCTCATACTGACTACATAAGGACAGGTAGGGTCAACACCTCATACAGGTAAGACACAAGACATCAACATGAGGACAGACAGAATAAAGAGGGGCTTCAGTCCACCTTGGCGTTCCTCTTGATGGACGGACTGAGCAGCGTGTGCAGGGTCAGCTGACCTGAAGATCAGAAGAAAAGAGTTTACAGAGAAACAGAAACAGCTGGTCCAACCCTGGAGAAGACATTTAAGTTATCTGAATAACAGTGAGTGCTGACCCTCACCAGCAGGGGGCGCTCAGTGTTTAAGGTCTCTGAATAACAGTGAGTGCTGACCCTCACCAGCAGGGGGCGCTGAGTGTTTAAAGCCTCTGAATAACAGTGAGTGCTGACCCTCACCAGCAGGGGGCGCTGAGTGTTTAAAGCCTCTGAATAACAGTGAGTGCTGACCCTCATATACACCGCACTGTGGGCCCTTCTCACTTCTCTTATTTTTCATTTCCTCGCTCCTCGGTCTCGGTCTCACCGGAAGTTGATTTGTCTGCACCATCTTGAGTAGCGTCCCATTGGCCTTATTTTCGCCGGAGGAGCGAGGATCGAGGAGCGATAATGGAGGAGCGATAACCGAGGAACCACCAGACCATCCTTCGATGAAATCCTCAGACACTCGCCCCGCCCCCTTACTGTGTATCGCTCACTGATTGGACGATGCAGTGCATGCACTGATCTGATGCTTCTTGACTTGAGAGCAGTTTCCCAGCGGAGTGAAGAAAACACATGAACCTCACGGGACTCACTCCTCAGTTTATACCGTGTTTTGTTTCAATTCATGTTTCATTTAGTTACAAATATGTGAAATATCTGAACAACTAAGTGGTCAAAAATCATTTAATTCATTTTTTGGAAACATTTTCATGATCGCTTTTTTCGTTATTTAAGAATGGCGTTTATCTTTTTTGAGAATGAGTTCTTATTTTATTTTATGTATTGGGTCTACAACAGATGATACAAATGTGTGTGTCAGTAAATGTGTGCTAACAGAGGCGGGGCTGTGTGTGGAAATAACGGGGACAGAGCTGCTGTCAGACGATCAGCTGTGCAGCGTCATCACAAACGGACGTCGCTTCACGTGACGCTCCGGAGAAAAGGACGTCCCATTGCTCTTAAAACTCATTTCCTGCTTCTCGTGGTTTCCTTGCATCTCTCCTTGCTTCCCTGGTGGGAGGGACTAGTCGCAGGAAAACGACGCAAGTGAGGGACGCAAGGAATCCATTTAACCGAAGTGAGAAGGACCCTGTGAATGAATCAAAGTAAATATAGAAGTCATCATGAACACATCTGTCCATCAGACAGAGGGCTGCTGCCTCCTGTCATCATTAATGGACGTCTCTTTAAAATGACCGCTCAGAGGAGAGGAGTTCTCATTTCTCTAACCGCCTGCTGCTTCCCCTCCTCTCTCCTCAGCTCCCCTCCTCTCTCCTCGATTCCCCTCCTCAGTCCTCCGCTCGCATCTCCTGTGGGCAGGACTAAGACACGAGGATAGGAGTCGAGGAGGGGAGTCGAGGAGGGGAAATTAGAGAATTGAGAAGCCTTCTCGGAGAGCAGCTGATTGGTCGGAGAGAGAGAGAACCAGAGAGGAAGAGACATACGGCCAATCACAGCACAGCTCATAGGGATGTCTTTAATAATCAAGCGGTTACTCACTCTCTCTGACGGTGATGTCATCACTGTCAGGGTGATGCCCCGCCTCCTCACCTGTGTCCAGCAGGTGTCTCACCTGAGAGGCAACAAAACGTCCGTTAATATCTGCAAGAGATCCCTTCAAGAACCCATACGGACCTCGTGTGTGTGTGAGTAAGGGAAGATACCTCCTTATGGACAGAGTTAACATGAAATCTTTCCCACATGTGTACAAAAGTCCCAGAGACGTCAATTTCATGTACAAAGGATGGCCAAATCTCCAGCCACTGGCAGGAACGTCGTGAGGTGGACACACAATGCAACATTTACATTTTCCAGTAGGGGGCGCTCTAAGACTGTGTAATATCTTTGCTGCACTTGGGAAAAATAAAAGTGTATTTATGATGAAATTACATTACGTGTCATTTGTTAGACGCTTTTATCTAAAGCGACTTACATACATACATTCAGTACTGTGGACAATCCTCAGAGGAGTAATTTGGGATGAAGTGTCTTGGCCAGGGACACAATGACATTCTGACTGCAGTGGGACTGGAACCTGCTATCCCCTGATTCAAATAAAAGTCCAGCACACTATCCACTGAGCCACAGCCTCCCTTTAAACAGGTAAACAAGTGTGCCTGGCCCCCAAACTGTGTGGGTGTGCTACAGCGGGTACCACCTGTCACTATTCCAAGTTTGTAATCCCTGCGAGTTTATAAATACTTGACATTGTCCCAATGTCTCAATTTTCACACCAATACATAATTTGGTGGCCTATATATCACCGTTCAAATATCAGCTCCAAATGTCAATGCATTGTGGAAATATGTTGGTGTCCATTTAAAGGAACCTGTTTTGCATTGAAACGGTCCCTGTAATGCACAACATTGTACACTTCAGGGAAGGTTTCAATGTTAACCAGAATGCAGCACCTCACTTTCTGAGCCATACTAAAGCACTCCCATCTCCCCCTCTTCCTCCAGGTGCTGCAGCCTGGTTCTCTGGGTACTCTATGTCCATATTTAAGACAGTTTCCCCGCATTTTAATCACTATTTCTGCCTTGGAAAGTGAGGTTCTCTCCACACTTTTCCCCCTAAAATGATTTTAAATCATTATTTTTGTATTTAAATGCATTTATTTTATCATTAATTTGGTTCCCTGAAACAATGCACATACTCTGGAGCTCACTGGGGTTCTGTATATGCTTTAATCAGGCATTTTAACACTTTTTTTACATGAAAATGATTTCTAATCACTATCATGGGGCTATATAAATCCAATTCCGGGTAATTCGGAGCACAATTGCACCTTTTACAATTTAAATGTATTAGTATTATATATTTTTGGGCTAGGAAAGTGACATTTCTGGGTGATTTTGTCAGTTTATGGAGCTTAGCCCACAAATGCTGGAGGTTCCAGGCCAAATGTTGGTGCCCATAGGCGGCATGCCAGGCGCACCCAACCTTTGGAAAGAAGAACAAAGTGAAGAAAGCGGTTAATTATATCTGAAAATAATCCAAAATGAAGTTTTAAAAAATTGTTGAAGAAATGACAAAGTGCCAACGGAGATGGGGCTCGAAAAAGCTCAACCCTTTGGGGCTTCGGGCCCTTTTTTCCCCTTCTCCGTTGTAAGTTTCAAAAGTGTCCGGGGCTTCATTTCCCCTTCTCTGTCAAAAATAGTCATCCATACATTTTGGACTACGGTCTGCATGAAATCGGAAACCTGGTTTTTGGGTGCATTCAGAAAAAAACGGTTGTCTGCAAACACGGAGGAGAAGTGTCCGCTCACCATGCACTTTGGGTCAGCCTTATTTTGACCCCCCCAGCCTGGTTCTCACAAAACTTTACTCTGACAAATGTGCCTCTGGAGGAATGACGGGGGAGTCTACCCGCATTATGAGGTACTATTTTCAGATACTTTTTTTCATTTTTCACCCTTTTGGCCCTTTGGCCCGGTTCCTTCTACCTGGGGCACTGCCCAGTCCCGGATCTCCCCAGTCGGCCCTCCACTGAAGGGGTGGTGGTGCCAATAAGAAGGCCGAAGTTGGATGCTGAGGGACGGCGGGCGGGCAGCATTAAGGTTCCCAGGGGCAGCTAAAGTGCCACTTTCCATCAGCACTGAGGAGGCGCTCTCCTTGGTGCTGAACCCTGTGAGGAGTGCTCAAGTGTTGGTGGAGGAAGTGTAAGGCAGAGGAGGGTGAAAAAAAATTAAAGTGTGTGAACCTCCAGCCTAGAAGGGGTGGTGGTGCCAATAAGAAGACTGAATTTGGATGCTGAGGGGCAGGCAGCATTAAGGTTACCAGGGGCATGAGAACATCCTCCACAGAAGGGGTGGTGGTGCCGTGGAGAAGGATGAATATGGATGCTTAAGTGCGGGTCCCCGGGCACTCATGGTGCGCATGGTTATGGATGTGTGGTGGTGGTGCCAATAAGAAGGCCGAATTTGGATGCTGAGGTGCGGACAGTAAAGCACCCCAAAACCAACCCCCCTTTTAGGGTACCAGGGGCACGAGGTTCTGGCGTGTGTGAATATCTGGGTTTAGTCAGTGGGGAGTGCTTCAGTGCAGGTACCCGGGCACTGACGGTGTGCAAGGTTAACCTTAGGGTTAGGGTCACATGCTGGAGGTCTTTAGTCCGTCCTATGATGCACTATTCCCACATTTGAAACAATGTTCCTCCCTTGTAAAGTGCTTTATTGTAGCCTGCCTTGTTCATGTCCAATTGATGTACTTTATTTAGTATTGTATGTGTCTCATATGCAACACACTTATTCCGACACGTGAAACACTATTTCTTCCTTCTCAAGTGCTGTGATGCGCCCTGGAAGTGTCAGACTATTTAAACAATGTTTACCCCATGATTCAAACACTGTTCTAAACCATATTTTAGACTGTCCATTTGATGGAATTCAATTTGTATTGAAATGTCCATGAATTGTACAATATTGAACAGTACGCGGATAAATATATTATACAGTGAATTCCATCAAAAGGACACTTTTCCGCCATCTGGTGGGCTTTCAATGCATTACAGAAAACATTCCAAAACTTTAGAGATGAGAGATTTTCTCTCTCTGAGGGGAAAGCTCACCTGACCCCTGTTTCTTTCCCATGTGGAAGCCCCGGGCGGTGCCTATGCACTCTGGGGCAAAGATAGGGCCTGTCTTATATGGACTTAGAGTGTGAGTATGTGTGTGTGTGTGGTGTGTGTGTGTGTGTGTGTGTGTGTGTGTGTGTGTGTGTGTGTGTGTGTGTGTGTGTGTGTGTGTGTGTGTGTGTGTGTGTGTGTGTGTGTGTGTGTGTGTGTGTGTGTGTGCGTGCGCGTGCGTGTGCGTGCGTGTGCGTGTGTACCTGCTCAGGTGAGATGCTCCTCAGATTGGGGTTCAGGTACCTGGTCTGAGGGTCGATGGAGAACCGGCTGAAGTTCCTCTGAAGGTTCTCAGGAGTCGCCTGAGGGAGGAGGCGGTACAGACTCTCTCTGTGGGGACAGGTGTACTTATACTCATACTGTGTATTTATACTGTAATACTGTGTGTATATTTATGTATTGATATATATATATATATATGTATGTGTATTTCTAGAGTTTATAGTAGTACCTCTCTGCCAGGACCTCCAGAGGCTCCGCCCCCTGAGCCCACCTGCTGATCATCCAGGAAGAGTCCAGCGCTGCCAGGAACCCTCGAGCAATGCCTGTGCCCATTGGCCAGAAGGGCTGTAGAGGGGGGGGGGGTTAATACAGAGGTACCTGTCTGTCTGCCTGTCTCACCTCCAGCAGACTGTCCCCCACCTGTCTCACCTCCAGCAGCCTGTCCCCCACCTGTCTCACCTCCAGCAGACTGTCCCCCACCTGTCTCACCTCCAGCAGACTGTCCCCCACCTGTCTCACCTCCAGCAGACTGTCCCCCACCTGTCCCTCACCTCCAGCAGCCTGTCCCCCACCTGTCTCACCTCCAGCAGACTGTCCCCCACCTGTCTCACCTCCAGCAGACTGTCCCCCACCTGTCTCACCTCCAGCAGACTGTCCCCCACCTGTCTCACCTCCAGCAGCCTGTCCCCCACCTGTCTCACCTCCAGCAGCCTGTCCTCCACCTGTCTCACCTCCAGCAGCCTGTCCCCCACCTGTCTCACCTCCAGCAGACTGTCCCCCACCTGTCTCACCTCCAGCAGACTGTCCTCCACCTGTCTCACCTCCAGCAGACTGTCCCCCCACCTGTCTCACCTCCAGCAGACTGTCCCCCACCTGTCTCACCTCCAGCAGCCTGTCCCCCACCTGTCCTCACCTCCAGCAGCCTGTCCCCCACCTGTCTCACCTCCCGCAGACTGTCCCCCACCTGTCTCACCTCCAGCAGACTGTCCCCCACCTGTCTCACCTCCAGCAGACTGTCCCCCACCTGTCTCACCTCCAGCAGACTGTCCCCCACCTGTCTCACCTCCAGCAGACTGTCCTCCTCCTGTCTCACCTCCAGCAGACTGTCCCCCACCTGTCTCACCTCCAGCAGCCTGTCCCCCACCTGTCTCACCTCCAGCAGCCTGTCCTCCACCTGTCTCACCTCCAGCAGACTGTCCCCCACCTGTCTCACCTCCAGCAGCCTGTCCCCCACCTGTCTCACCTCCAGCAGGACTGTCCCCCACCTGTCTCTCACACTCCAGCAGACTGTCCTCCACCTGTCTCACCTCCAGCAGACTGTCCCCCACCTGTCATCACCTCCAGCAGACTGTCCCCCACCTGTCTCACCTCCAGCAGACTGTCCCCCACCTGTCTCACCCTCCAGCAGACTGTCCTCCACCTGTCTCACCTCCAGCAGACTGTCCCCCACCTTCCCCACCTCAGCCTGTCCCCCACCTGTCTCACCTCCAGCAGACTGTCCCCCACCTGTCTCACCTCCAGCAGACTGTCCCCCCACCTGTCTCACCTCCAGCAGACTGTCCCCCACCTGTCTCACCTCCAGCAGACTGTCCCCCACCTGTCTCCCTCCAGCATGACTGGTCCCCCACCATGTCTCACCTCAGCAACTGTCCCCACCTGTCTACCTCCAGGCAGACTGTCCCCCACCTGTCTCACCTCCAGCAGACTGTCCCCACCTGTCTCCACCTCCAGCAGACTGTCCCCCACCTGTCTCACCTCCAGCAGACTGTCCCCCACCTGTCTCACCTCCAGCAGACTGTCCCCCACCTGTCTCACCTCCAGCAGACTGTTCCCCCACCTGTCTCACCTCCAGCAGACTGTCCCCCACCTGTCTCACCTCCAGCAGACTGTCCCCACCGTCTCACCTCCAGCAGACTGTCCCCCACCTGTCTCACCTCCAGCAGACTGTCCCCCACCTGTCTCACCTCCAGCAGACTGTCCCCCACCCGTCTCACCTCCCAGGCAGACTGTCCTCCACCTGTCTCACCTCCAGCAGGACTGTCCTCCACCGGTCTCATCACCTCCAGCAGCCTGTCCCCCACCTGTCGCACCTCCAGCAGACTGTCCCCCACCTGTCTCACCTCCAGCAGACTGTCCCTCCACCTGTCTCACCTCCATCAGCCTGTCCCCCACCTGTCTCACCTCCAGCAGACTGTCCTCCACCTGTCTCACCTCCAGCAGACTGTCCCCACCTGTCTCACCTCCAGCAGACTGTCCCCAACCGGTCTCACCCAGCAGACTGTCCCCCACCTGTCTCACCTCCAAGTCAGACCTGTCCCCCAACCTGTCTCACCGTCCAGCAGACTGTCCTCCACCTGTCTGCACCTCCAGCAGACTGTCCCCCACCTGTTCACCTCCAGCAGACTGTCCCACCTGTCTCACCTCCAGCAGACTGTCCCCCACCTGTCTCACCTCCAGCAGACTGTCCCCCACCTGTCTCACCTCCAGCAGACTGTCCTCCACCTGTCTCACCTCCAGCAGACTGTCCCCCACCTGTCTCACCTCCAGCAGACTGTCCCCCACCTGTCTCACCTCCAGCAGACTATCCCCCACCTGTCTCACCTCCAGCAGACTGTCCCCCACCTGTCTCACCTCCAGCAGACTGTCCCCCACCTGTCTCACCTCCAGCAGACGGTCCCCCCCCTGTCTCACCTCCAGCAGACTGTCCCACCTGTCTCACCTCCAGCAGACTGTCCCCACCTGTCTCACCTCCAGCAGCCTGTCCTCACCTGTCTCACCTCCAGCAGACTGTCCCCCACCTGTCTCACCTCCAGCAGACTGTCCCACTGTCTCACCTCCAGCAGACTGTCCCCCACCTGTCTCACCTCCAGCAGACTGTCCTCCACCTGTCTCACCTCCAGCAGACTGTCCCCACCTGTCTCACCTCCAGCAGACTGTCCCCCACCTGTCTCACCTCCAGCAGACTGTCCCCCACCTGTCTCACCTCCAGCAGACTGTCCCCCACCTGTCTCACCTCCAGCAGACTGTCCCCACCTGTCTCACCTCCAGCAGACTGTCCCCCACCTGTCTCACCTCCAGCAGACTGTCCCCAACCTGTCTCACCTCCAGCAGACTGTCCCCCACCTGTCTCACCTCCAGCAGACTGTCCCCCACCTGTCTCACTCCAGCAGCCTGTCCCCCACCTGTCTCACCTCCAGCAGACTGTCCCCCACCTGTCTCACCTCCAGCAGACTGTCCCCACCTGTCTCACCTCCAGCAGACTGTCCCCCACCTGTCTCCCTCCAGAGACTGTCCCCCACCTGTCTCACCTCCAGCAGACTGTCCCCACCTGTCTCACCTCCAGCAGCCTGTCCCCCACCTGTCTCACCTCCAGCAGACTGTCCCCCACCTGTCGCACCTCCAGCAGACTGTCCCCCCACCTGTCTCACCTCCAGCAGCCTGTCCCCCACCTGTCTCACCTCCAGCAGACTGTCCCCCACCTGTCTCACCTCCAGCAGACTGTCCCCCCACCTGTCTCTCACCTCCAGCAGACTGTCCCCCACCTGTCTCACCTCCAGCAGACTGTCCCCCACCTGTCTCACCTCCAGCAGACTGTCCCCTCACCTGTCTCACCTCCAGCAGACTGTCCCCACCTGTCTCACCTCCAGCAGACTGTCCCCCACCTGTCTCACCTCCCAGCAGACTTGTCCCCCACCTGTCTCCCTCCAGCAGACTGTCCTCCACCTGTCTCACCTCCAGCAGCCTGTCCCCCCACCTGTCTCACCTCCAGCAGACTGTCCCCCACCTGTCTCACCTCCAGCGACTGTCCCCACCTGTCTCACCTCCAGCAGACTGTCCCCCACCTGTCTCACTCCAGCAGACTGTCCCCCACCTGTCTCACCTCCAGCAGACTGTCCCCACCTTCTCACCTCCAGCAGACTGTCCTCCACCTGTCTCACCTCCAAGCAGACTGTCCCCCACCTGTCTCACCTCCAGCAGACTGCCCCCAACCTGTCTCTCAAACCTCCAGCAGACTGTCCTCCACCTCCAGCAGACTGTCCCCCACCTGTCTCACCTCCAGCAGACTGTCCCCCACCTGTCTCACCTCCAGCAGACTGTCCCACCTGTCTCACCTCCAGCAGACTGTCCTCCACCTGTCTCACCTCCAGCAGACTGTCCCCCACCTGTCTCACCTCCAGCAGACTGTCCCCCACCTGTCTCACCTCCAGCAGCCTGTCCCCCACCTGTCTCACCTCCAGCAGACTGTCCCCCACCTGTCTCACCTCCAGCAGACTGTCCCCCACCTGTCTCACCTCAGCAGACTGTCCCCCACCTGTCTCACCTCCAGCAGACTGTCCCCCACCTGTCTCACCTCCAGCAGACTGTCCCCCACCTGTCTCACCTCCAGCAGACTGTCCCCCACCTGTCTCACCTCCAGCAGACTGTCCCCACCTGTCTCACCTCCAGCAGACTGTCCCCCACCTGTCTCACCTCCAGCAGACTGTCCCCCACCTGTCTCACCTCCAGCGACTATCCTCCACCTGTCTCACCTCCAGCAGACTGTCCCCCACCTGTCTCACCTCCAGCAGACTGTCCTCCACCTGTCTCACCTCCAGCAGACTGTCCTCCAGCAGCCTGTCCCCCACCTGTCTCACCTCCAGCAGACTGTCCTCCACCTGTCTCACCTCCAGCAGACTGTCCTCCACCTGTCTCACCTCCAGCAGACTGTCCCTCCACCTGTCTCACCTCCAGCAGACTGTCCTCCACCTGTCTCACCTCCAGCAGACGTCCCCCACCTGTCTCACCTCCAGCAGACTGTCCCACCTGTCTCACCTCCAGCAGCCTGTCCTCCACCTGTCTCACCTCCAGCAGACTGTCCTCCACCTGTCTCACCTCAGCAGACTGTCCTCCACCTGTCTCACCTCCAGCAGACTGTCCCCCACCTGTCTCACCTCCAGCAGACTGTCCTCCACCTGTCTCACCTCCAGCAGACTGTCCCCACCTGTCTCACCTCCAGCAGACTGTCCCCACTGTCTCACCTCCAGCAGACTGTCCCTCCCCACCTGTCTCACCTCCAGCAGACTGTCCCCCACCTGTCTCACCTCCAGCAGACTGTCCCCCACCTGTCTCACCTCCAGCAGACTGGCCACCCATATCCGTCTCACCTCCAGGCAGACTGGTCCCCACTGTCCACCTCCAGCAGACTGTCCTCCCACCTGTCTCACCTCCAGCAGACTGTCCTCCACCTGTCTCACCTCCAGCAGACTGTCCTTCCACCTGTCTCACCTCCAGCAGACTGTCCCCCACCTGTCTCACCTCCAAGCAGACTGTCCTCCACCTGTCTCACCTCCAGCCGGACTGTCCTC